TTTCTCGATTATATTTGAGTGTTGCACTTTAGTATTTTACAGGTAGTACACTCGCATGGCTTACTACCTCTACATCAAAGATCATCAAAATCAGTTTCCCCAAAGCTGTAGGGTCTCCTTGTAAGTGAAGTGGTGTTTGGCCCTCCTGAATACCACAATCGCATTGTGAATTGTCCCCAAGGTTAAATCTATGCAAGTATTGCTTAAANAGTGATTTGTTTTTAGAGTGAGCTTTTGCAATTCGGGGATTCCCCTTGTATTACTTTTCAATAAAATAAACTGAATTAAGTTTGAATACAAGTTTATTTTAAGCTTTTATATGAATTTCTTTCAGACATTCGAAGTAATTTATTAAGCAGCCTGTTTCTTTTAATTTCTGCAAACTTTTTTATGCGGTTTTAAGTTAATTTTAATTCGTTGTTTTGGTTTTATGCGATTTTAGAAAATTACGGAACGTATCCCTACTTTTTCAAGGCAAGTAAAGTCTTTTTTATGCGAATTTTTTATATGCGCTTTTCTGTAGAACGTATCCACCGCATAAAACGAGACCTTACAGTACTTTACTTCTATTACGGTACATTCAGGAATTAATTTCTTTTTACACAACTCTAAGTAAAAATCTTAAATTTCTTCCCTTTATAACTTATTTTGCATATCTCGAAAACTTCCAGGAACTTCTAAATACTGTATCTTTTTTAAAACTGTTTTAACTCTTTTCTCCCTGTGGATACTAAGAGGGCCTTTTTTAACAAGCCTATTATGGGTTTGGCTATGTTTACAATGGGGCGGCCTGGTGATGAGGGACGAGGTCCGACATATCCGGGCCACCTTGACCGTTCGGCCATCCGATCGCCTCTAAATACTGTATCAACGAGCTAGAATATACTACATAGAGTGGCTGTGACCATGGTTACAGCGCTCTTGATAGCAACGACGGTTATCAGCCCCACCGTAAGCGGGCGTGCAAGGCGTGCACCGCACGCGGGCGGCAAATCGAGCGATCGGTCACATAATATTCAAAGTCATTGTCATAATACCCACCCTACTTATAGCATAAGAAATGTCTTCGCCTGGAGAAAAAAATCCACCGGCGCGCAAATTACTATATTCTTATTTATATTGTAGCGTTAACAGCGCCTCTATTGACATTTATCAGAATTAAGATGCAATGCGAAACGTCTGTCGGCAGGTTGAACCATCCGGCGGCACTCGAAAGCCAAGTACCCATAGTCGTGCTCTATGACAGAAGTTGACAGGACTGGCGAAAATAGGGAATTCCCACAGAGCTTCCTTCTCAATTTGTACTTGTACGCATTTCAACAGTTCTATCGCATATCAAATTGCAATTATTTTGTTAATAATTCTTCTGACATGGGTCTAAGTGTAATTAATGATATTTTAACTTGGTTAGGATTTAAATCTGAAGCTTAAAGACGATTTAAGTAGTGAAACAGACATTGACGGTATTGATTTGTTTAATGAAATCAATGCTTTAAAGTTGCATTTTCCAGAAAACCAGTCTAATGATCCACAAACCCTATTACAATATATTTTTACTAATGACCTAATTTCAACATTTCCGAACACAGCAACAGCACTAAGAATATTACTTACATTGCCGGTTTCAGTTGCATTTGGTGAAAGGTCCTTTTCAAAGTTAAAAATTATAAAAAAAAAACTATTTAAGATCAACAATGCACCAGCAAAGACTAAGTAATTTAGCTATAGTTTTAATTGAGCACGAAATCTTAGACAGCTTGGATACAAGAAAATTGATAGCAGATTTCGCAAACATAAAGGCAAGAAGAGTTCAATTTCTGTAGATAAATATTTATATGGTTTTACACTTAAGTAAACAAAAATAACTTAGTAATAATAAATAGTTTTTATTTGTAAGGTATTACACCCTTAATAAGAGACAACACTAAAGAGCCTTTCTGGCAAGCTCAGCGTAGGTAGTCATAGTTAAACAGGGGGCGGCATAATCGGTATTGCACACGGGCGTTCAAATAGCTAGCTGCGCCCCAGACGGTTACTATCGATGAGATGGAATATACTAGCTCGTTGCTTTTACACAACACAAATGCCACATCCCTTTGACTAAAAGGAAAATGGCGGACGTGTATTCAATTTTTTTCAAACATGGCGTCGTTTCAGCCACTCTATGTATATATTCAAGTTGTACTGTATTTACAAAAGGAAAAACCTGGTGCAGTTGTATATTGTAAAAGTAAATTGCATCTCCCTTCCAGATACAAATCTTAATTCGAGTCCTTTCATAATTTCTTTTTAGGACCACTTATTTATTTTTTGTACTGATTTTAATAATTTGTTATTCCGATAAAAGTTGAGGGAAAGCTAATTTCGTATTTATAATTCCTTTCTTCAGTGATTCATTTTTTAAAGATTAATTATTTATTTACAAATAACTTCGAGGGAATTCTTTGTTTACGTCACCTCGTGATGTTTATATTCCACCCTTACTGTACATAAAATATACATAAATAAATATTATGAAGTTAAATGAATATAATTTAATTATAAATTGAAATAGTAGTTAGAGGCTAAATGAATAAACGATACGAAATGCCACGCGAGAAGGAGTGCAGTCGTAATTTAAACAGTGCCAAGGCGCTAACCTGCTAATCTGCATACAGAGGTATTAAAGATTGTGGAAATTCCAATAAAATACGTATTGTGGAGTTTGTTGATAACTGGACATACGTTTTCGTTTTTCATTTATCTTGCATTTGTGAGCATAAACCCTGAAAATCGAGGTCCCAACTACAATGAATATGTGAATGTTCTTTCAAATCCTTTATTATAAAAAAGCTTCGCTATTATAAACGTTCTGTTATAGAAGCTTCATTGAAATAAGAAATGTAGAAAGTTAATTAGATAATAACTTTACTAGAATATTGCATAAAACTTTATGATATTTTTATGATAATAATTCAGTTGCATTAAATTGCTCTGTATACTCGGAAGGTATTAAATATTGCAATTTTTCTGTTTTAAGATTTGTATACATTTTTTGTTATTACTGTCATATATATGTTTTCCATCTCGGTGTGATATTATAATATAAAGTTTCGGTTTGTTTGCCTTTAAAATTGGCTCTAAATCGAGTGTTATGCTAAAGTGCCTCATACCTTGTATAATAGGAATAATGTGCAATACAGTAGTGAGCTCCGTAATCGACTTCAAATGAGAGTTGAGAAGCGTTTTCTATTCAATACAGTCGACCCCCCTATAAGATAGAGATACGTTCCATTCTCTAGGAATCCGCTTTCTTACGAATCCTTCCAATCACAACCCGACACGTGTCAAGTTTACGGACTACGGCTGTTTGAAAGATTTTCTTCCATAAAATTAATCGATTCTAGACTAATCCGACTCAACATTTCCAAAATACGTATATATTTTTTGGGAATAATCCGTATAAACTACGCTATAAACAAAAAATTGTAGGATTACTTACCGAGTGTCACCATTCGACATTGCCATTGCTCAACATTGTTTTCGTCGCGGAACAGCTCAGCAAAGAGCGGCCGATTTCTAACAACTTATTTTTCTGTGAAAACTTCGTAGAACTTCGGAGACATCATTAATATAAATAATTTTAATCGCCGTTGAATAAGAAATGTTTCTTTCACAAGAAATGTATAAAATTACAGTACTGTATTAGACTTACGGTACCTAATTTACATACTGACAGACGATAGTTAGCGTAAAAATCTCCGTAGCGTGGCGCCACGCTAGACGGCGGAAATTATATATTTAATTATAACAAAGTTACAATAAGTTAATATATAATTATATATACAGTACCTAATTTATATATAATTAATATATAATTATATGTACAGTACCTAATTTATATATAATTTATATAATACTGTCCAGACGATAGAAATCTCTCCGTAGCGTGGCGCTACGGACGGCGGGAAAGTAGTTCGGCTTCCCGATGACGTTTGAGGTGTTTATAGGGAACTTTTACTATTTTTTACGGATACCGGTAGCAATTTTTTCGTAGTTTTATAGGAATCGTAACTATACGGACCGTAATTATAGGGGGGTCGACTGTATTTATTAGGATGATTCTTTAGTTAGCGCTATATTGAGATATGACTGATCAAAACTGATATCCAGGAGCGTAATCTTAATATATATATTGAGAAATGAGGTAAATAGGTCGGCTTGTTTTACAATGAGTTTGCACCACAGTAAAAGTATGGCTTTACAGCATATTAGTTTGTTGTTTTTCTGTAATTTAAAGATTAATTAATTAATTAATTAAAATATAGCCCTAAATCTGAAGCATGACTGAAATGGTTTTGCTGGGACCATGCGATAGGGTCTGCTTCTAGTTCATATTTTATTTTTGTTTCGCATTGTTATTACTTTCAATTTCTTCATTTTGAAAGGAGGAAATTGTAAATAAAAACAATGCAGAAATATTGCAAATTCTTGAAGGTATAAGTGCTAAAAGGACGTTTAGTGGCCGCCTTAAGGTATCATTATCAGCACCTGAAATTTTTTTTCATTTTTATGGTAGATCGACGCAGATATATCCATCCATCCATCATTAGCCGGAACCTCCATCATGTGTGTGGCCAAATCTACTATTGTTATAAAAACAGATTTACTTAGTGCATACAGTTTTAGAGTATATAACAATGATAATTTAAGCAATAAAATTCATATGAACTATAATAAAATAATAAATAAAAAAACAGCATGAATATAGTACAAAATTTTATCGAGTCGATTACTATTTATTGAGAATTAACAATCGAGGATTTCGCCGCTGTATTTAGAAAATCGGCGGGATGTGGATCCGAAATAATTTCCGCAGACAGTAAATATAAATAAATTATTTTTATGTCAAAATCAAAAACTTTACGATACAAAAATACATTATTATATAAATTTTGAAATTCCAAAATTAAAAAAGAAAATTAATATCTGTAATTGTAAAAATATTTTACGGCAGGAGTCGCTGTAAAGAAAAATAATCGTGTTTCGATGTGCGGAAACGTGTAGAAATGAAATATAATGAGAGAACGAAGTTCGTGATTAACTTACTAAAGTAGACATTATTTAAATTAATTTTCACATAATTATGTTATAAATAAGCGATTCATGCCAGACTTCCCACTACGATGGCCGCCCGATTGAAGTAGGGAAAACACGTAATTGCACGTAAGAGTAAAGAAATGACAACATTAGTGTCATAATTCGAGATGTCAGCAATGAGTAACGAATGCAAACAGGTAAAAAAACTCCGTCTTTACCTACTTTTGACCATTCTAACGTCTCTGTAAGGTGTAGAATAGTGTAATTTCAACAATAGCTCACTTTTATAAATATATTTAACATAATTTACGTTTAAAATTACCTAAAACTAATAAATGCCTTCAATTTTTCGACCTTCTTGATGTGATAAACGGTAAATTTGCAGTTCCGAATTAGAGGTCTGGACCCCGAATTTTCGATCCCACTTTGAGTATGGTATTAGCTCTGATAATGTTCCAACTCCCTCATGAAGTACTGTATAAATGCAGCTCATTTAGAGCTGCATTTGTACACTACCTGATAAACTATAGAAGCCTGTATCCTCGACTTGAGTTCACTTTACTGATTTTAAATTATTGCGGTTTAAAAAGCTGTTACTTTAATTATAAGGAAATGTAGTTATTCTCTGTATTAAATTGTTGTTTAAATTGGATCTATGTAAATAATTTGGTATAAAATGTATAATATAATAATTACAGGTAGTAGTATTTACTTGCTGTATTATATCATCTTAAACAGGAAATATTATGATGTGTTGTCGTTGCTCGTAGCGGAATGGTGGTTCTATTCTTTGAGTGGTTTAAAAATGTCATTGTTCGTTTCTAAGGAGGATGATGATGATTTTAATATACAATGTTTTTGAGAAAATTGTTTTGGTTTAATTGGTTGCTGTTATCACTTGCTCGTAATTTGTTAATATAATAATTAATTTATTTAAATTGAAAGTGGATGCACTGTTTTTAAACCCACTGATGACAAACAAGATAGTTTTCAAATGTTTTTGATGATAAAATATATAAACTCAAATATGTGACCTGTGTTTTTATTTTTATGGTTGAATTATTATAAATTTATTACTTCCTGTTCTAACTGTTACTGTTAGTTGAGTATTGCTTTTTACTTGAAAAATTGATGTGATATTAAAAATAATGATTTTCTTTTTAATTATCAGTTATGTTTTTCTGATGATAGGCAAGGGAAATCAAATGCAAACAAACAATTTCTTTCAATCTGTTTCAGTTTTAATCTTCCAATTCACATATTCTAACTTCTATGCATTTGAAGTTAGAACTACTTAAAATGACAAAGACAAAACCTTTCACACTTTGTTTCTAGCAGTTTAATCACTAAGTACAAACGTTTTTGGCCATTTTGAATGGCCTTCTTCAGGTACAATGAGGTTGGTTGGAACATCGGTTAGCAGATATTCAAACAGTGTCACTGTTTAAATATATTTTGTGATGTCACTAGTAAGAAGAAACCTATGCAAACAGTGATGCTGTTTGAATATCTGCTAACTGATGTTCCAACCAACCTCATTGTACCTGAAGAAGGCCATTCAAAATGGCCAAAAACGTTTGTACAGTACTTAGTGATTAAAGTGCTAGAAGCAAAGTTTGAAAGGTTTTGTCTTTGTCACATATTTTAACTATAGTAATGAGATTTAGACAAATATTTTTTTGTTATATAATGAGTTATGTGATGAAAAGCATTTTATTTATAAATCTAATTAATACTTTTCTGTATTAATAAAAATTAAGACACAAAGCCATTAACATTTATTTATTTACAGTCCCAGGAAATACAACATGACTACAGTGGCTCTGTTTTTCAGTTATAAATTTTTTGTTCGGTGATAAAAATTCCAACATTTTTCTACCTATTATCAGTGGCGGTCTTAGGGGGTGGTGAGCAGGGCAATCGCCCGGGGCCTCGCGCAACAACCAAGTAGAAAAAAGTTGATATTTAAAACTTTTTATTTTATCCTTGGCTATTAGTTATAACAATAAAATAAATTTAATTTATAGTACAGTATATATTAATATTAATAANGACTTTTAATATATTATTTTTTTTTAAATTGCAATCAATGTATTAACTGAAATTTATATTGCATTTAATTTATAACAAATATATTGACTGCAATTGCAGTCAAATTGCAGTCAACATATTTTTTGTTTATGTATAAAACCAAATATATGTATAAAACCAATATATGCTAACAATCAGTGTAGATATAACAGATGGGCTACAGAGACTGAAGAACTTCTCCAATGACAAAAAAGTTAAAATTTATTTGTCTGAACTTCAAAACATTTTTAAAAGCATTTATGATGAAAAATACATATTATTGGACCATTCATAATACAAGTATCTTGCACATGTTAATAAAAGGTACTTATTAATTATTCAAATAGTTTTTATTTTTGAAGTAACCCTTATTTGAGTACTACTGGATCCATACCCATTACTGTTAATAATCTACCAATACAGCTAGATTCTTATCAGGTTACAATATAGCCAATTAATTATTAAGATACTTAATAATTTGGACTAGAGGTAGGTGGTTAAGTCACCATCTCATGTTAAATTTAGTCCAAATTACTAAGTATCTTAATAATTAATTAGCCATATTATAGTCCGATAAGAATCCGGTTGTATTGTTTGATATTTATTGAAAATTGGAAACAAGTTTTTGTTATTTTATTAAAAATAATTTATAATTTTTTAATTAAAAAAGCAAATTCTATTGTATTATTTTTTCAAATGTGACTTATAATTTTATTTCAATATGGGATAAGTATTTTAATTATATTTTCAGGTTTTTGCAAATGATGTAATTGCACATCAAGCTGATCTCAGATTTATTACAATGGCTACGCAGAAATTTATTGATGAGTCCAAGGTAATTATGATATAAATCTTAAAATTGCTTATTCTGAAAACAGTTTAATGTTTGAAAATTATCTTTTTTTAATTTGTAATTATAATTTAGAATAAATAAATCTATTATTATATATTTGAATAAACAGCATTTAATTAACAATATTGTATTAACAAGCAAATCAATCTCAGTTATATTATTGGGCTGCAATTTTAAAAAACTGTAGATCTATAAATTCCCATTGATGTTTGTCTTCTGTCTGTCTGATTATCCTGCCTTAATCTCAAGAACAGAGTTAGATAAAAATTGAGACTAGATATGGAAAACTTAGGGGCAGGAGGCCCCAACTAACTATTTATGAACTTTCGGTTTGCACTTGAAGTCATGTTATTTCATTTCAAAAATTTTCCCCTAAATGGAGTTAGATAGATGACAGGTATAACTCTGTTGTTAACAGGAAAAGCATGATGTACAGGGGCACGATACTACTAAAATTGAGAACATTGTGATAAAAAATTGCAGCCAGTATTGTGACAATGTCACAATAAATAATTGCTTGTATTGATTTAGAATTGCTTATCTATTATTTAAAAATAATTTTAATGTAATTAAATTATTATTATTACCTTTTTTAATTTCAGCAATATTTGATAATATTGAATGCATTCCGTACTAATTTACCAAAACGTTTATCTCATCTGGAACCGGGTGAAAGTGAAATGAAAGTCAGAGTTCAAGAAATTTCAAATATTTATCAAACACTTCTGAATCGAGTAACAAAGCTAAGTGATTCTCTCACAAACATTGAAAGTAAACAACGATTTTACTTGGAAAGTGTTGAAAAAATTCATATTTGGATTCAAGATATACAAAGAAATGCTAACAAACTATTAAGAGAACCAATAGGTGCCGATTCTAAAAATCTGCAAGAACAATTAGATCATATCAAACAATTAAGTATGGAAGTTGTTGGACAAGGAAGAACAATTGAAAATATTAAACATTCAGCAAAAGCATTCTTAGAAAGTTTGGTTGGAATTGAAGTACAACATTCAGATATAAGAGCTATTGAAACTTCAGTTACTACTATAGAAGAGAGTTTCAATCGATTGATAACAGATGTTAATGAAAGATGTGACCAGTTACAGACAACATTAGTTCAATCTCAGGATATTCAAGACGGCCTTGATCAGTTTGCAAAATGGATAGAAGAAACTGAAAATGCATTCCGCAATCAAAACAAGCCAGTTAGCATCAATCGGGATAAATTACAAGAACAAGTAAGTATTCATACCTACTAAATCTTAACCATTGATGTTATATTATGAAGCAGTAAGTTAAATTTAATTATTGGAATTATCAGCAGTAAACAAAATATTATAGTATGCAATTAACTACATACAAAGTTTATATGTTAAGACAATTTTATAAAATTTTTATATAAATTTATTTCAAATTTTTAATTTAATTTTGTTTTGGTTACAGTAAAACTTCTCTAACTCAAAGCTCCAAGGGGCAGGAAAAAACTTTGAGTTAAAGAACAATAGAGTAAAAAATGCTGATTCTGAATAGATTTGTATTTTTACCTCTCTTGCATTATATAAAGAATCTTTGATAGTTGTTTTTTTGTTTTAAACAGCCCATGTAATGTCTTTCAACAAAACGTTCAATGTAACTAATGGAATCAAACTGTTTTGCAGGTACATATTATTGAGATAAAGTGAGAGGCTGTTTTGATTTGGACTGGAATGTTGTCTCTAAATGGATGTTGGATAGTAGATACAACTAATTGTCTGAAAATTTCAAGAAATATTATAATTGGGATCAATTCGAATAGAATAAATATTAACATTTGAGTTGGGGAAGTCAAAATTAACATAAATAAATGTCAGACCATGATCATGAAAAACTTCAAGTTGGAGACATTAAATCCCTATGCTTTTCCGTTGAGAGCTACCGAGTGCTTTGTTTTCTTCAAGTTAAAGAGATATTCGAGTTACAGGCATTTGAGTTAGAGAAATTTTACTGTATACAAAAATTTTTAAATACTATTTCTTTTGATTTGATTAATATTTAATATACAGGGTTGTCAAAATTAAACTTTCCCAACTCAGAGGGCTCTGGAGAGTGTTCTACTGATGGAAATAAAAGAACATTTGGAAAACAGATACTTCAGATGATGCACTCACCATTTATTAAATAAAAATATTTCATAGAAAAAGTCACTGATAGGTGGCATTGAAGTTGCAACTTGGATCCGAACCCATTCCATTATTGGAGAATGGTATCTTAACACATTAACAAGTTTTTGATCTCCAAGCTTCAACAAAGCCTTCAAGATACCATATTTGTGAAAGATGGTGCACTATCCTCGTTATGTTCAATGTGTGTTATTCAAACTTTCATGGATGAACAGGTAATCAGTCGTTACTTTCCAAAAGCTGGCCTTCTCGTTCATCTGATTTTACCCTATATGGTTTTTGGCTATGGGATTTTTTGAAAGATCAGGTCTATCATGAAAGATGTGCATTTGTGTCAGATCAAAAGGACAAAGTTCATTGGCATGTTCTCTTGATTAAAGCAGTGTTCAGCAATGGAAAACATGCTTTTGCAAATGGAGCACATATTAAACATTTGTAACTGTGATTTGCATATCTCCAGTGCCACCTGTTGGTGATGTTTTGTACAAAACATTTTTGTTTAATAAATGGCAAGTGCATCATCTGAAGTACCTGTTGTCCAAATGTTGTTTCATTTTGAGCAGTACAACACTTTTCAGAGCCCTCTGAATTGGGAGGTTTAATTTCGACAACCCTATAGATCTACAACAAAATTTTTATTGTATTATGTTTATATTATTATAGTTTATATATACATGGTGTATCTAAATGAATGCTTGATTAGAAGTTTTTGTAGACAAGCAATGAAAGATTCACCAACAACATGGGATTGTATAAGATAAATATCTCTCAAAGTTTCATTTTTATAATATAGCATAGAGTTGGCTTCACCATCCATCACTAATGGACTGGCAGTTATAGACATGGCAACAGGCAAAGAGTGTTCTGTGGACAGGAATGTTATTCTGCAAAATCAATTGTAGCTGTCTCCAGCATTGCTTTCTTACAAAGTTCAATAAAAACCCACCAGATATGAAGACTATTTGGCATTGGTACAAGCAATTTGTGCATAATAGATGTTTGTGCAAAGGCAATACTCCTAATAGGAGTATATTGCACTGTGCGTGGAATGAACTGGACTATTAAGTTGATATCTGCTAAGTAACAAAAGGTGATCATATGAAGCATTTATGGGATATGTAAGAAACTGAGAGTTTGCCTCCATATCTGTATGTATGTATGTATCACTGTCTTGTGTTCAGCACAAATGAAGATAACACTTTTTTAGAATCAGGGACATCATTTAGGTACACCCTATATATATTTTGATGTATTGATTATTCTATGTACAGTACTATATGTTGATATATATTTATGTATACAGTAAAACATGTTCAAATTGGAATCCGAATGAAACATAAACATGCCTAAGTGGAAAAATTCTTCAGAACAGAGCAATTTTCTACATTAAATGAATCTTGCTAAAACAGAAAAAAAATATTTGGTACCATGCAATTCTAATTTACACAGGTTTTACTGTGTATATATACATGGGGGATCCGAAAGTAACAGGAAAAAATTCAGATAAAATTGTGTATTTATTTTAACAACCTCATATTTTAATCTTCAAAATACTCTCCATTAGTTTCAATACACTTGTCCAAATGTTTTTTCCATTGTTCAAAACACTTGTCCAAATGTTTTTTCCATTGTTCTAGAAAATTCCTGTTCTGAAATGCCTCTTAGTGCCTCTGTCATTTTTGTTTTCACCTCTTTTACTGTCTGAAGTCACTTTCCTTTGAGTTCCCTCTTTGTCTTGGAGTGTGAGATCAGAAAAATGGGAGTGGGGAGGAAGGTCAGGCCATTTCTTGTCAAAAACTGCTGCATGGAGAGTGCCGTGTGAGTAAGTGCATTGTCATGATGAAAAAACCAATCACCCATTCACTTAAGTCCTTTCTTTTCCTTCTCATAGCATCACAGTCTTTTGAGGACTTCCAGATAACAATGTCAATTGACTGGCTGGCCTGGATGGACGAATTCGGAATGAACAATTCCTTTCACATCAAAAAACAGAATTAATGTGGGTTTTCACATTCAACTTCACTTGTCTTGCTTTTTTGGGATGAGGAGATTCTAATGTTTTCCACTGGCTGAATCGACATTTGGTTTCTGGATTGTAACCATAACACCACAATTCATCAACAGTTATAACCTTAGAAAACAAGTCTGGATCATTTTTCAAATGTTTTTCAAAGCCTGACAAGCTGCCAAGCAATTGCCTTTCTGATAAGCGGTCAACAAGCATGGAACAAACTTCACAGAAACTCTTCTCATGTTGAGTTCTTGTGACAAAATTTGCTGAATCAAACTTCATGAAATCCCAGACAAATCAATGAGTTCATCAATGGATCAATGGTAATCTTCATTGATGAGATCACAAATTTTCTCAACATTTTCGTCAGTTCACATGTTGGATGGATGCCCAGACCTGGGCTAATCTTCAAGAGTCATTTCTCCTTTTTGAATGTGGGTAAAACCATTTGTAAACTCTTCTCTTATTCATGGCGTCTTGTTTGTAAGCATGTTAAATTATTTCGACCATTTCCAATCTACTTTTCCCTAACAGGAAACAAAATTTCACAACAATGCATTGCTCTTTAAAATCTGACATCATGTTTTTGATGAAAATGAAAAACAGCTTTTACAAAAAAAAATTGCTATGGGCCAATAAGTCTTGATATGATGATGCCACTGTGCATATTGATTCTGGAGGATGCTGTCTACTGACATATAGCAGCAGATACATGTACTATAAACCTCCCTCCCTCCACAAAATTATTCCTATTATTTTTGGTTCCTCCTCCATATACATAAATCAAAATATTCATGTGTAAGAAAATATTATGTGCAGATTTACTGAAAATGCTTGTGAACTTCCAATTATTATAAATAGATCTTACTTCCTTATTATATACTGTAGATGTATTATTTCTTCTTTCACTAATGTTTTTTAAAATTACTTATTCTTATCAAAAATTACAGAGAAAATTAAAATTATAAAATTACAGATTCGAACAATTGTGGAAACTGTAGAAGAAAATATTGTGAAATTTGAACAATGGCTTGTAATTGTAGTGGAAAAATTAGAAAGTATCGAAACTCATAGAGTGGATATTACTGAATATATAACATCCATTGATGAAATCTCAAATGAAAAGAATGTTAAGAAAGAAGAATACGATGATGTCATTAGATCATGCAAGAATCTTCTCAATAAGAAAGATATAACAGATACTATGCAGATGAAAGAAAAATTAAAGTCTCTAGAACAACAATGGAAGACACTTACTGATAATATCACACAGAAGAGAAATCAAGGAAAAGCACAAACCGAACAACTATCTACATATGAATCTCTAAGAACTAAAGTCATTGAATGGCTTTCAACTATTGAAATTAAATTAGAAAATCTTGAGCCTGTTGCAATTGATAGCAGCCTGCTTCAAAAACAAGAGCAAGAACTTAAGGTGATAATTATTATTTTAAAAAATATTAACTTTTATGAAAACATTTAATATTTAAATTTATTGAAATTATTTTACTTTAAAATCTTTTTGTTTAAAAGTTTATTAATGTAATAAAGATAACTTTTAATAATCTTTAATTGTAATAATTATATGAAAATTTTAATTATTTTAAATTTGTTAACCCAGCCACTTGTTAAAGAGCATACTGATCATGCTCAAATTATTCAAAAAGTTAATGACTGTGGCAATGCTTATGATGATATGGTTCAAGGGGAAATTTCACAAAGAAAACCCGGAAGTCCACTTAAAAAAGTACCTTCAACAAGTGCTGTTGGTAGCCCAATTAAAAAATCTCCACCCAGTAAGTTAACCATAAAAATTTATTGAAAATTGGAATAACTTTTAAATTTTATTTTAAAAAATTAAAACGTTTATATTNTCAAAAATGTTTGATTTTTTTATAGTAATCATTCCATTAAAGTTGTATCTACAGTTACAACATTTATAATTGAAGTGAATAAATAGGAAGTAAAATAGTGGAAAGAATTTGAAAGGTAAATATTTGTAGGCAACAAAATGCATGACTTGGAACTGTAATGGTAGACAAGGTTATTTTGAAAAGTTGTCAACTGAAGTTAAAACCAAGTGTTTTTAGTATGAAATTTATAGATGCTGTCAGAGTAATTGGTACTTGCCATACAAAAAAAGAAGTAAAAGTTAGAATGTACCAATTTACTTTTGGTGGGTTTTTTTTTTTATTTAATTTATAGAGTTTATACAATTTTATATTCTTGGATTATGTAGTACAGTTAGATGCATTAAATTCTAGACAATGAAAAGATGTGAGTTTGTTCCATTGGTTTTGTGGTAGAAATAGGTATACAAGTTACATAAAAGCAAGGTGAATGAACTGCCGTAGCATGAATTGTAGCAGCACAAGGTTGTGATGCCTGTAAAGCTACATAAAATGCTTTAAATCATGTTACAGCAAGTCCACCTTGTTTTCACATAACTTGCATACAAATCTTCCCTATGAAACAAATGGAACATACCCTCATCTTTGCACTGTCATCTTTTTAATTTTCTGAAATCTTAGCATTTATTAAAATTCTTTGCAAAATTTTTTTTGTGTTTAAATTATTTGCCAAAGTGTAATAAAATTAGATTTTATCTTCCTGAATGCAAAATTATTCAAAAAAAATATTAATTCTCTCTATTTGAGAACAAATGATTTGCTTCACTGACAAGTACAAGTTGCTAAGCATGACTTAGCATGGAAAATATAAATTGTTAAAGAGCTAACTTTACTGACGTTCGTTCTACTTCCTTGAGTAAATTTTATTAAATAATTAATGAATTTAATTGAAAGTAGAAAACAATTTTTCTATATTTAGGCTTATAAGTTATATAAGTAATTTAAATCAGTTATATTAATTGCATCAACTTTTAAATCACTTTTGTAGGCCATGCAAAAAAGTGTGTGAAGTTATCGATTTGACTTAATTCAGACCTCTGTCATGAGCACTCACTTCTATTTAGTTTGTTTGAGAGATGAAATAATGAGCTGTCATTTTTGGAGTAAAAAGTTTAATTTTTAATTTGGAATATGGAAATGTATAGTGAGGGATATTGCTAATGCATGAGGCCTGGGATGTTTATCTCCTTAATGGCCCCCTCTAGTTCTTTGGTAGCCTCCTTTTGTCATTTTTTTAAACAAATTAAATACATTGCTTTTTATTGATTAAAAAAAAAAAGTCATAAACAATTTTACTTTTGTAGTAAAAATTGTATATAGGGTTAAGAACCATAAATTTTTTCTTGGTCAGCTCCCCTTGATTCATTCTGCTAATGTCTTGCAAAGTTGTTGCCTCTCCACCTATTGTGAAAACACTACTACAAGTCATTTAACACTAAGAATATTTGTGTTACAACTTGCTACTGTATTTTTCAAACAAACTAAACATAAAGATATGACTGATTAATGTAACATTATTACTTCAAAGGTTTGATATGCAGCTATATTTTTATTAAAAATACAATTTTTATTTTGTGGAAAGTGTTACAAACATTTTATAATAGATTTTTCTTTTATTAAGCATCTATTCATAAGTTCAAAAGGGAAATTTTACCCCACAGTATTTACAAATTCTTCTATAGTTTTCGAATTGGTGGAAACATCTATCAATTAGATTTTGAGAGACAAAGATTTAAAATTAATAAAATGATATTTTAAATGCATAGAATATTTAGATTACAATTATCAAATAAATATTAAATATGTGAATTTTTATTATTTAGAAATGTTTAAATCTCTATTTAGTTGTCATAATGCAGTGAATTTAGCTTTATCACTCTCTATCTCACAAATATTGAAGGTTTGTATATAATCTTAAAGATGTATCTTTTATCAAAGTTGCTGTATAGTAAGTATTTGTTCTCCTCAAAATGATTAGACAAATGTTTAGATTTATAGTATTTTTTAAAATTTTTAATAAAAATAAACTTTAAATTTATATAACATGTGTAAGTTAAAGGCCATAATCTTTACAGGAATTGTTAAATACGTGCAGTATTCTTTTTCTTCTATTAAAGGCTAAATATTCAAAATTGAAGTCCTAGTGAAAAATTAACTATAATTAAACTTTATTATATATTGTTTTATTAGTTAATAACTTGTATATTGTAGTTTTATTATAATTTTTTTTATTATTTGAACCATGCTTATAGAGAAATAAATTTCTCTTTAATCTTCTTGAAAGTTGGGAAGCTTCTTGCTAATAAAAGTATCAATAATTTTTTAGAAAATTGATGATTCTGTTGTGATTTACAAAGTCATTATTATTGATATTTAACTACGCAATTCCCTTATCAGATTTGTTTACTCAAATAGTAAAGGTAACTGATAGCATTTATAATCTTTAACTTTATACAGTCGTCTTACCTGATAAATTCTTTTCCAATTCTGACTCGACTCAAGTCGTGCAGAAAATTATGGTAAAGACTTAGAAAACTTTAGTAATTACTCTAATAATTATATTTTGAAAGATGTAAAATGTATACAAGTAAATAATTTAACTTTTTTAAATTGTGTGATAAATGAATCAGATTATTGCATTAGAAATATTAACTTTGTTTTAAATATTAATAAATAATATTTTTCAGGATTTTGAAACTCAGAGAGAAATGAGAGAAAACAATTCTCAAAGTCAAAATTCTGTAGAAGAAATAGAAACGACTGAATCTGACACCGAAGGTAAACTATTTTGAATGTTTTGTAAGGTTTAGTTATGTGTAAGTTTATTTTATGTCTATAATTCCATTCATTTGGGTAGTATTAAGTACAAGCATTGCCATTCCTACATTCAATAAAAATATTTAATTTTCCAATTTCGCTCTGGAAAATTTAGTCTTTAATTTTATATAAAATAAATTAATTAAAAAGTATTTAATAATCTCAAAAGCTTTTATTTAAAAAAGTATTTTCATAATGATTAATAGGCCATCTTTAGGTGTGAATAGTTGAAGGTGAAAGCTGTTTTCACTATGCAAGCTTGAAGATGGTCCATTAATTGGGTCAAAAATGTTAACATTTTTTAAACTTTATTTATTATTGATTAATTCAGATGACAAAAATATTAAATACAGTAGCCCCTTTGTTATATTGCACATCTAGAGCAACAAACTAAATGAGTGGTATATCAAATAACACAATATAATAAATATGTCTATATATTATTGTATAAAATGCTTTTTTCTTTGGAAGACAAAAAAAAATAATGCAATATAACAAGGGACTATTGTAAACTGTAAAAGTTTAGAAATTTTTTTTATTGCTTTGTAATTGCTTCATATATAATTGAATATATTATAAAAATAATTTCTATGTTAAAGGAAGTAAAATGTTTTATTTATGCAATTTTTGTGATGTTGGTTTATAAATTTTCTGTTCTTCAGTTATTATTTTATCTTAGTCTGAAAATTTAAAGTGTAATTCATGCTTTAAATATAATGCCAAGTACAAGTGTGCCTTGTTTCTGAAAGCCACTCATAGATTAAAATTTCATAAATTGCAACAAGCTTTTTTATTACTTTTTACAGTCAAAATTTAAATATCATTCAGTTATTCCAGTCACTCTAATAATGGCCCCTAAATAATACTGAAAATGATCTATTAATTTAACATTGAATACACTTATATTAATGATTAATTAAATAAATAAACTTAATCCATAAAACTGAACATAATACAACAGCAAATAGGATAAAATTTTAGTTAAAATGTATTAATAAGGCACTTGTAAGCACTCTCATAGACTTGCTAAATGATATAATAGATTACTGTGAAGAACAATCATATTTAAGAAAGAGACCATAAGATATAAACTACATGTAAACTACAGTTTCTTTCTCCAATTCTCCTTAAATGTATACAATTCTCTGCTTTTTTGGAGATAAAGATGAAAATTTTCATTTAAACATTAATACTTTCTAGACCATTTTCAAGGATACTAACACCATTGTCAACATTGGCAGTGTTGGTATCCTGAAGATGGGCTGGAAAGTTCTAGTGTTTCAGTGAAATTTTTAGTTTTAATCTCAAAAAAATAAGCAGAGAACTGTAAGTGTAAAGTACATCATTTAGCATATATTTTAGAACTTCATAAATATACTATTATCAGATTTGAAAATTGTCTACTTACAAACTTTAAACATTTGAAGTATTTCCTGTAATAAAAGATACTTCCAACTGGACTTTTAACTATAACTTGAAACTTCATTTAATGACTACTTATGCAATATATTTTAATTTCAAAAACTGTAAACAGATAAGATAAATGTTTTAAAATATTCCAAGTATATCTGTAAATAGGATTATAATTATATACATTTTATTGGACCAGTTTTGATTAAGAACCTTTAAAGTTAGTATAAAATAAATAAAAATTAATTTATATAAATGCACTAACTCAGACTAATAGGAGGTGAAGGTTATCAGAGTTTAGAAAGTTAGCAGGTGTTTTCTCCAATCTGGGAAACAAGAAAGTGGATATACAGTTCAGTAATTTATTACAATTGTCTCTATACAAAAGTTTTACTGAGCTGAGATTATACCAATGAATTTATTGTTACAGGAAATGAGCTCAAAAAATTAATTACAGTACAGTATACAGCAATGTATAGTCTTTAATAAAGCTGCTAAATACTGGTAGTTGGTTATGGGTTTGTGCCTGACCGACAAGTTGGCCATGTGGTGTTTTCCAAGTTTTTTTTTGTGTGTAACACCTAAATAGGGACCAGTTCACTGTAGAAAGTTCTCTGGAGGCACCCCCAGCCTTTGTAGATCTCCTAATGTTGTGTTACTCTATCATATCAAACAATTCAGAACGAAATTTGATTAAAGCCAAGCACCATTATTTTTATAAATATGATTAATGTGCCTGTTTGATATGCAAGAGTTATAGGTTTAAGTCTCACTTTTAGCTTGATCTTTTCTTTCAGAACTTCTTAAAACTGTCTAATTAGCTAAACTTCAAAATTAATTTTTAATCAGTAGGAGTAAACAACTGTCTTTTGGTGTTAAGAGAGCTGAAATTGCATTGTATATAACATTTAAGCATTGCATTTTTGAGCTATTTAGTTCAAAGAGTAATGCTTAAATGTTATAACAAATAACTATATCTATTGATTACTTTGGGCTGCATTAATGCTAATTTGAATTAATTAATTAGTTAATATAAATAATTATAAATTGATTTTATGGTGTTTTTTGTTTTTAATATTTATTAAGTGGATTTTTATGTAGAATGATAAAAATAATAAATAAAATTAACTTTATAAAGAGAGAAAAGTTTTATATTTCCTCAATCATGTGGATGGGATGGGATGGGCTTATCTGAAGAGGGGAAGTTTCCAATAAAGTTTATTTAAAAATAGGACTTTTGTCAGTAGATACAACTTCTGTTTAATTTATTTTAGTATTAAAATGAAGTTTAATGTATGATTATAAACCAGTAATCTATACTAATATTATAAAGAGGTAATGTTTGTATGTATGTAAGTTTTTCTTTGCAGCAGGTAATCTCCAAAACTACTCATCCAATTTCAAAATTCTTTCACCAATATTTAGAATGGAACCTCAGGGTGGACATAGGTTGTATATTATTCCGTTAAACATTCATATAAATTAAATGATATCATCTATGGTTAAGGCTTTTTTGTCCAACAGATGGCGCTACGAGTATGATGCCCTAAGTTTGCTTTTCTGTGAGGCATTATGCTTTTCTGTGAAAATGAACTAAAGCGGATCATCTTCTATCTATCTATATAAATAAAAATGTAATGTTCGTTTGTTCCTACCGATTCCTTTGAAATTTTGACACAACGCTGCATTCGAATACGCACATGTTTTTATATACTGTAATATACGTGTCGACATTCCCCCCCACTGAAGGGAGATGGTTAGGATTAAGGCTTACGGTAAAAAACTCTGCTTCTATTTATACTATTTTAGATGCGGGTTTTTGCATTTTTGATTGCGTTTTAGTAGGGTACGTCAACAGAATGTACACTAAGAAGGGATTTTTCGATATTCCTCCGCAGGGGAGAGGAACAGAATTAAGGCTTACCGTGAAGAACTTGGCTTCTATTATATTACTTTAGATGCGGGTTTTTGCGTGTTTGATTGCGTTTTAATAGGGTACATCAAGAGAATGTACTAAAAAGAAATTTTTCAAAAAATTTTTCCCCCCACGGGGGAAGTGTTATACATTTATAATAGATACATTTTGAGCCACAACAACGCATGGCGGGGTCTGCTAGTAATATATATAATGGGTGGCTGGTTAAATTTGTTATAAGAACTTTAATTACCTATCTTTTATACAAGTGCATCTTGCCCTTTTATACAAGAGCATCTTATATTTGTAAGATGCAAGATGATGATTAAATCACCTATATACATTGTAAAACATAAAATGCAAAAACTGCAAATTGATGATAGCGAAGTGATATGGCATTGTGATATTTATGATGTCTTTTCTTTTTTTTTTTTTCTTTGTTCTGTTCTGTGAGAACCTTCTTAGTAAGCCATATTATGGATTTGGCTATGCTCACAATGGAGTGCCATTGTGAGTATAGCCAAATCCATAATGCCAGAGGTGAAGGACGTAGCAAGACATATTCAGACAGACTATTCCAAAATATTCCTGGGGTTTTCTGATCTGTCTGGATTTGATCCTGGGTCCACCAGAGCAATAGACTCAGCCATCTGGCCATCAAATTTTAATGTCATGACCATATTTATTGGTTGTCATCAGTTAGATCAGTCTTATTTCATACACATGCATTGATTTAGTGTGGGCTAACTATTCATACATAATATTCTTATAATTTTTACAGTGTTATTGATTTTAATTTATTATTTTTCTTTAAAGTTGTTAGGGTGATCAGATATTTTGCAGGAGCCACATTGTTGTAGTTTGATAACTGTGTGTGGAACGCAAATCACGTTTTGACTGTCTTTGTTATATATTAAGATAATTGAATTGTGTATGATGCAGCATAATACATTTCTATTATATAAAGATTTACATTTTCTTAAGTTGTATATTTATAAATATATAAGTATAGAATTATGTGAATATATAATAGTTTTTTTTTATGTATTTATATAATCAAGGCAATTTTTTAAAAGAAGATATTAAATATTTAAAATAATTTGTGTATTTTTGTTCTTGTCAGATGAAGTTCATTGTCCTGTGGAGAATCACGAAGGAAGAGAAATGATTGACATTTTGCTGCCCTTTTCAGTTGAATATGTAAAACAACTCCTCTTTACTGATTCCCAATGGTTTAGAGATTTCTTAGATGCACGAAAAACTACAGGTAATTATGTCTGTATAAATTTATTCTCTTATCTTTAAAATATAAAAGTTTTATATTTTTGGAGGAATAAATTACAATGGAAAATATTTTTAAAAATATCAGGCATTGTAACTAGTGTATTTCTCTTTATTTGTTTAGTTTTTTGTTTTTTTTTTTTTTTCTTCTTTTTCTTCTGAGAATGTCATACAAAGCATTTCCTATTTTGTAAGAGAATATTGTATGGAGACACCTTTTGTGGGGAGTACAGCTGTCCCTTGATAGTCTGACATTTTGTAATCCGACATGCTCAGTAGTCCGACGCACCTCCCGTCATCAAGGTACTTGTCCCCGTTACGTGTCTGCTTGCACAGAAACATGTTGTGACGTGAATCTCCCCACCAATTCTTACATGATGACACACATTTCGTGTGTTTTCCGTGAGCAGTTCTGTTCGAACAGTTGGAATAGGGAATATTGTAGGCTACTGGTAGCTAAACAATGCCAAATATGTAATCACTTTCGGTAATCCGGACACTTTTGGCAATCCGACACCCCTTTGGTCCCATACCTGTCGGATTATCAAGGGACAGCCGTGTATGATTTGTAAAAAATCATCTAAATGCTACTTTTTTAATAAATGCCAGTCAAACTATTTGTGTGGTCTCCGTTCAGTGAGTATGAATTTATTTATCTTATATTATGAGTATAAATTTACCATTTATTGAAAAATGTTTTCCATTTGTTCAATAATCTGATGAGGACGTGCAGGCCGCAAAACAAGTTATAAATTTTTGAATAAATGATTTTAATGCTATTCAGAGTCTTTTCACAATTAAAATATAGAAAAGCCATTCGTTTGGATATTCTTTATAATTTGTTTACCTTTCCTTGACTTTCAATAATTTATACATATGCATAGTAATAACTGACATAAGAGGTAATATCTTACATTAACAACTACTCTAATCTTCCTTGAAGAACATAGCATTCTTTAAATTCTAGGGAATTCCTTTTCTAACAATAGATAGTTTTGATATAACGAATGTTTTCATCTGTATCAATTGGACATCTTCAGGTTTAATTTGAGTTTTGTATTCAATTTGGTAGTATGCTCTTTGAAAGGTTTATATAATCTGAAGATATCTACTTGATATGGATGAAATTTTGTTATAATAAATATCTTTATTGTTTGTTTAACTGGTTTAATGTATTGATGTGTTTTTAGATAGTTTTTGTATTTTGTTAGTTGGCACACTTAACTCATTTTCTTCACTGTGGCATTTATGCTCTTTATTAAAAAGTGCTTTTAAAAGACAATTTCAGATTTTGGAACGTGTTACTTATCAACATTCTCTAAAGTTTTTTTGTTTATTTTGATTGTTTGGTTGTTGGTAAGAGGCATTATTAAATAAAAACAGTAATGCAGAAAGAAAGGCAAATTTTTAAATTTTGTGAAAATGCAATGGCTGATCTTTAAAAACACAATAGTCATATATTCATGTTGTGTATGTTTCATTGCATGAATTTTTTTAAACTTCAGATTACCCTACAAGAAGAGGTTGAAACTGCTAATTTTATGTTCCTGTTTTTAACAATATTATCACTTTTACAGCTGTTATATATGTAATACAGAAAAGTATTGGAATTGTGTTGAATTTGACCCTCTAGGTTTTTGAAAATCTCAATGTTTTGAGACACTCTGAACTCCAAAAAGTAAATAAAAAAAGGAAACTAATTCCATCAGGGTGTGTATGTGTGTATATACTTGTATGTGCTGGCATCCATTTCATTTAATATCTCAGGATGGAGTAAAGATTAAGAAATGAAATTTGGCATGATAACTTGTAAGGAGCATTAAGTTTTAGTGATTAATGGTCAAAGTGGTGGAAGATTGAGGGAGGTCATGTGTCATATCTCAAGTAGAGTTGGACTGAATGGAAATTCTACTCTTTCTTGGCATTTATAGTTTTCTTAAAAAGCTCATCTCTACTCTAAAAATTAAGCCTTTTGCCTTTTTATAATTATTAATGATAATAAATTTATTTTTTTTAATCTCATAACAGATGGCATTACTTTATTTTTTATTGGCATATAATTTTATTTTAAATAATTAGTAGCCAAAATAAATAAAACTATGCAACTACTTGATTTAGATTTTGTCTTAGGAAGTTTTTCTGCAAAAGGGGGTGAAGCTGGTATTATATAACTTTTGGTAAATGTAGTCTGACAAAAGAGCAAGTTGCATAACTTTCCTGGCTTCACCAGTAAAGTTATGCAACTTGTTGCTGGACTTTTTTGGGTTGTATATTGTTTTTTTAAAAAGATAAATTTAAAAGTAATTACACACTTTTTGATCTTTGTGATTATTTAAAATGCAAATTTTCAAAGAAAGAAATGATCAATCTGGTCAAGTTGTCTGTCTTCTATAAGAATGGACAATCACAATATTAGCTATGAGGGTTCTGAATACAGACTGTTAGTGTATACCTCACATAACAAATGGTTACATGTGATTTACCATATGTTTTAACTACTTATTCCATTAGAGAATACAGGTGGTTGCAGTATGTGGCTAGTCATGTGTTATCATTATCTGTATTTAGTGGAAGGTGCAAATCATTGACACAATAACTGGTAGAAAATCCTGTAAATAAACATAAAAATCTAAGCAAAGATCAGGAAGAGCTATTCCATAGCTGTAAGCATTTGTAGTCTTGGTTGATTAAAATGGAAAGTTACAAGAAAAATTAAAATTGAAAACAGTATTTGTTGCTAGAGAATTCCAAACAATGGTTTGTTCTTCTGGGGTTTGTTGATTTAATGTTTAGGAAGATCATATTAAAAAATTTGACTGTGTAAATGATCATTATATTGATGTTTGGGCTTCAGCTCTTTTCCTGCAGTAAAATTTTATCAGAGCTTTCTACTGTTCTCAGCTAGAATGTTCCTGAGATGCAGCATAGTGTTGGTGAAATGCCACTCCTGTCATCAATGGTCTTTGTTAATAACTAGTCAGCCTTTTTGACAATCCCAACTTCAGCATCTATATGTACACCTCTAAATTTGACAACAGTCTGTTGACTGTGCCTGTGTGGCATATACCACAATAGCATGGAGTCTACTTTTTTGTAAAAGCATTTTCATCAGGACTGCACTATCCTTTAGGCAGAATTGTGTGCTATTCTCTTTGCTGTTGAATGATCCAATAATTGTTGTCATCTACAATGCATTAACAACTACACTGACTCTTGCTACTGAACAATAGCAGGAATATCCATCCCATTGTTAATAGGATAAATTGATGCACCATTAATTCTGGCAATCAGTATTCTTTGATGTGGATTAGAGGTCACCAAGGAAATTTTGGCAATGACAGGGCAGGTGAACTTGCTAAGGAGGCAGCAGGCAACTCTCTGGGTGATTGCATCTACAATGCTCTGCCATTTAGATTTATAAAATCCCAGAAATTACTCACAATTACTATCTGTGGAAAAGGATGTGGGAAGGTGAGGACACTTGGGCCATCACATGTCTCTTCTTCCCAACAGTGCATTCAATAAGCCACCTGCAAAAGGGCAGCCTCTTCCACAAGCAAATCGAATTTCTCACTTGGCATGGTTACTTTGCCAGCTACCTGTGCCAGTTTGGTATTCAGGATGATGGGGATTGTGTATGTGTGGGGATGGAGGATGGTCCCATTCATTTCCTTTATGAGTGCCTATTATGAACAAATCTTACCTTATAATCAGGATGGTGGAAAACCTTAAAGGGGTCAACTAGCCTTGTTCTGCACAGGCACTTACCAGTAAATAGGCTTTGCATAAAAGCCTTAGAAGATTCATCAGGAACTACTACAAACTTATTGACAATGAAAAGAAAATCACTCACAGATCTGTTGCCACATGATGAAAACTTTATGCATATATATACATGTATATTTGTCTACTTGTAAACAACATCAATACTTGGATTCAGTATACCTACCATTATTTAATAATTTGTATATATTCTTTTCTTATGTATATATTTTGTAAATAATAATTGTATACAGTAGACCCCCCTATAACACGGTAGATACGTTCCATGTTACATGAATTCCGTGTTGTACGAGTCACTTAAATACGTGAGCCAATCACAGCCCGGCACATGTGCAGTTTAGTGGCTACGGCTGTTTGAAAGGTTTTCTTCCATAAAATTAATCAATTCTAGACTAATTTGAGTAAACATTTCCAAATCATGTATAATTTTTTGGAAATAATCCATATAAACTATGCTATAAACAAAAAAATTGTAGGATTACTTACCGAGTGCGCACTGTTTGAAGACACCATTGCTTAAGCTTGTTTTCGTCGCAGAGTGGCTCATCGAACAGTGGGTGCATGTTTCCTGATAAGTTATTCTTCTGCAAAAAATTTGCTGAACTTTGGAGACATCATTAATATAAATATAACATTTATGGCTGTTAAATAATAATTGGTTTTTAGTAGATCTGCTGCTCATTTAAACTCAACGGTTTGTGCAATGACCACTGTTGGTCCAGATTTGACCAATCTTGTCGAGACACGAGTTGGCTATGATGATCTGTCTCATTCTTTTACCATGTTATACGAGCCTCTTTTAGTATGTTATAAGAATACAATTGCAATTTTTCCGCTGTGTTATACGAATCCGTCTTATATGAACCCGTGTTATAGGGGTCTACTGTATATTTTTCATTAAATTTTGTATAATTACTAGTCTATGTAATCTTAGCTTTATGTTTTATGGTATTATCTTTATTTTCTTATACGGTATTTATAAACAAAACAAGTCTTATAATTTTTGTATATATTTTGTATAAGTACAATTAATTTGTATCCTTTCCAGTATTCACAAGATATATGTGTAAGCGTAATGTAATCACTTGGTTTAAATCATTGCTGCATAAATGTTATGTATTATTTTATTGTTAAGATGTTTAGTTATACCCTTCAAATGTATCTTTGTATTCATTTAACCTCTGCGGTGCACTGCAGAGAAGAGGAATTTTTGTAAATAAAGTTAATAAGACAGTAAAATAGCATTACACTTACATGAAAATAACTTAGATTATTTCTATTGGTTTGTATATCATTAAATTGAGGATTCATGCTTTAATCATTAAATTGAAGATTCTACAACTACAGTTTGGTTTATGTTTTCTTTTTCTTAGATTTTGTTGCTGGAGAATGGCACACCTGCCCTGAAACGGGAGATAAATTACGCCAGTTGACATACACGATGGCTCTGAATTTAGCAATAGCTAAATCTACTCGAAGTTCGGAATCGCAAGTAAGGGAAATGTTTGTAATTTTAATAATACATAATTTTTGTTATATTTTAGACATAAAGTTTTATTTCTACATTTATTAATTATTACATCTTTTGTTAGCGAATCTTAAAAAACAGTGAGCAAGGCAGAATTTATGTAATCGAGACAGATGTTTCCAATAATGGTGTTCCATACAGCGATTCTTTCAGTATCAAATCACATAATTGTCTGACCAGAATATCAAAAAATCAGTGTAGATTTCGTGTATATAGTCAAATCAGTTATAAAAAATCAGTATGGGGATTGGTAAAAAGTAAGTACTTCAATGCATTTTCAAGTTCTATAAAACTTTTTATTCAAATTCCTCAAAAATCAGAAATGTATGTGGAGCATTCAAAAAGTTTCCAGAAAGTGGTTATTATTTTTAAACAGAATGCTATATTTATAATTAATTGATGCAAGCATAAATTTGTCAAGACTTGTTTTATCAGGTATAGTCCCATCAGACATTCTTTTTATTCTAAAACTTAAAAACTTTAAAGGCAGTCCACAGATCAAACGAAACCATTTTATAGTGCAGTGGCTAGAATCTAAGAGCACTGATTTCTACCACAAGGGCTTATAAGGGAGACAATACCATATGTTTTAACTTAAATGAAACCTACGTTGAAAAACAAAGCATTAAATTGAATTTGTTCTCTTTTTAGTTACGTTCTCTGGAAACTTTTTGAATGAAGTGAACTAACAAGGGGACCTTGCAGTCTTGGAAATTTAGTTCGAAATGAGACTTCGCAGGTTAGTAGTATACCTCAAGGGTGTCCACCCAGAAGAATTGTAAAGCACACTAGTCAGAAGATTCCGAGAAAAAGGGCTCTTAAAGTTTTAAGTGCAGCTCATATACTGGTCGATTTTACACTATTGCAGCACAGTGAAATGGCTGAGTCTGTAGCAGACTCGCTTACCATGCGGGCAATCTTGATTCGATCCTACCTTTAGCTAGCTTTTTTTTTTTTTGTTTTAAAAATTATAACAACTTTTAAATAAAGTTAATGACCTAAAAATATTATCAATTAAATCATAAATAATTTTATTTTATTTATGAAATGACTGTTACAGCTAATTAAAATGTGAATTAACGATATAAAGATAATATTTTATTTTTAAAAAGTTGAATAATTTCAAATGCATTTTTAATGGAGGTAAATTAAAACTTTAATTACTATTGTCATTAAAAAGTTATTACAAATTTTAAGTTATTATAAGCTGTGGAGAGGTTAAAAATATTTGTTGTAAATTTGAGGAACTGGTTTCTGCGTGGAAGAGTAGAGTATAGCTGTTGATTATTATTTATGATTTAATTGATAATATTTTTAGGTCATTAATGTTATATAAAAGCAGTTATAATTTTTAAAACAATTAAAAAAAAGATAGCTAAAGGTAGGATCGAATCTAGATTGTCCGCGTAGCAAGCGAGTTTGCTACAGACTCAGCCATTTCGCTGTGCTGCCATAGTGTAAAATCGACCAGTATATGAGCTGTGCTTAAAACTTTAAGAGCCCTTTTTCTCGGAATCTTCTGGCTAGTGCGCTTTACAATTCTTCTGGGTGGACACCCTTGAGGTATACTACTAACCTGCGAAGTCTCATTTCGAACTGAATTTCCGAGACCTTAAGGTCCCCTTGTAAGTTAATTTTTATAGGCAGTTAATTAAATTATAGCCTGAAAAATAATTATTTTAAATTGATTGATTAGTAAATTTTCTTAGAAATATGTTAATTTTTATATGCTTTTTCTTTGCTTTTACATCCTAAAATCTATTAAAAATAAATAATAACTTTTTACAAAAAAAAAGTGAAATGGACCCTTACTTTATGGTTGGTTCAGGATAAGATCCAATCATTATGTTATAAGCTTCTCATAATAAAATAAGGTTTACTCTACAGTAAATATTTATTTTATCATGAACTTGTGGATGACACATTTTTAGATGAAGCAATCATCATTATTGAATGAAAATATTTTGAACAACCTGCATTAATCATTTTAAAGATAAATCCTGAACTGCACACCGGGGTATATATAACAAAAAAGGGACTCACATAAACCTTTAACCAGTTCATAACCTTTGTGATTTTAAAGATATTTTGAGTTTAAAAATATATTTAAAAAGTAAACAAATAATCCTGATAGAATGAATTTATTATGTTTTAATATTTATTTACTTATTTAATATTTTATTGTATAAATTATTTTTTACAAAGGGAAATATATTTAACTCCCATATAATGTGCTCCCCTATAACACAAATTCACATAATGTAATGAAAAACTTGTGACTAGTACTCATACAAAATTCTAATTTTGTCATCCATAAGTGTGTGTTTTCTTCTTCAGCTTCTAGGCCCAGTCTTAAACTTGCGTAAAAATTGTTTGATAATGCTCTTTAACACAGAACATATCCCCACATTGTACAAGACTCTGCTGTAGTTTAGTATTGTGAGAAATATTTTAGCATTTGTATGTAGAACATATTGTCAAAAAATGAATATATTATTAGATTCATATTAAAAAATTTTCATAATACAATGGAGTTTTTCTGAAGTGGATTAATATTGTGTAAGGGGGTGTGTGTTACACTCATTGACCAAAAAGCTATATCATCAAGATGATATTGGAATCAAATGAAACTTTATTAGTTCAAATGGAGTGATGATTGTAATGATTACATCATACCAAGGTGCTGTAGTTTGTACAACAACCTTTTAAAGGAACTTTTAGTCCCTCGAAAGACTACCTCTTGCTCGAATATGTGTGGCAATACCATCAAGCATGGTGGCATTTGGACACCTTATGCTATTCTGTGACAGACTGGCCAGCAGATGTTGCAACTGCTGCTCTAGATCCATCACATTTATAGATGGCTGCAGCTGGCAGATCATCAAAGTGTGGAAACACAACAGAGACATTGTTGGAAAACTTTAGATGTGTTTAATTGAATATTATTTTGCTGAAAAACTGCTGTTTTCAGCTCTGCCATGAAAAACACAAGGTTACAATATTCCTTCAAAATATCACTGTGCCTTTGATGTCTTTTGTACCACTAGTAGGGGTGACCAACTGCCACACACAATGGCTTCCCAGATCAATATGCCAGCTAGGAGTAATGTGCCACTTAATAGTAAAGGCAGGATTCAAAGCATGACCAGTGATCGTCGACACTCCAAAATGGTGTTTATCTGTTCCGGTTTGTATCAATGCATGCTTCTCTGTCATGGTACCACTGCAAAGAAAGCTGACAATATTGGGTGATAATGGCAAGATGCATAGTGGCTGTCATGCATGCAAATTTACTTGCCATATTGGTATAAGATATGGGGTGACTTTTATGCAATGGTGGTGAGGCTTTCATCTGTCTCTCGATGGTGGACAAAGATACCATTGTGGCTCTTTCGACTTGTATCACAATTCTTTGTCAGCTCCTGGTGGACTGTTTAGGGAATCCAGAGCCTGGCTACCATTTATGTGCATCCTGTTATATTCACTTCCTCAATACTTCCTTATGATTAGGTGACAGAGTGCAGATGGTGGGCAATTCAGCAAAGCAGTTATCCTGTTTCTCTCAACACAGTGACATGGCTTTTTTCAAAATCCCTCATCTATACAATCAGAGACTATCAGAGTATCTGACAATCAAAGACTTCAGAGACAACAGGTACATTGAAAATTGTGGCAAAGTAAACCAGTAAACTTCTGCAAGCATTTCTACAGGCTCTTAGCAATTTTGAGACATTCTGGGGACATTAACTGATGTGCAATCAGACCACAATTATAATTATTTACATACCTGTTTGAGATGTAGCTCTTGGACAGTTCTGTCTGTGTAACTTTTAGTCAATGAGTTTGATATCAATAATAAGATATTTTCAGATTTGTTTCTTATGGAATTATAATAGAGTATAGAGATGAGTAAATATTTTGATTTAAATAGCAAAAGAATTACATATGAATATTTTTCTTATAACACTAAAATTCTAAGAGGAATTTTACAAATAAATATAATTTGCATTCATTTGTTGATCTTTATTAATTGATTGTAAAGGTAATGCCATAGACAATAAATACATATTACATATAATATTTTTATTAATGTTTTTTAAGTTAGAACATATAAAAAAGTGTTACATAGACATAATAAATTCATAATAGAAGGAAAATTTACTAAAATATTACGTATAAAAGTAAACAGTAATCTAAAAATACATGGTTTTAAAATATAATTAAAATTGTAAATTCAAGTAATAATAATAATAATCATAAAGCCTTAAAATAATAACAAAAAAGTCTTACATCATATAAAATTATACATTCCTTTTCTACAAATATTTTGTTTTTCTGTTTATTTATTCATTTATTTAATATTACAGCAGTGATAGAGAAAAATGCCATGCAGGGTGCAATAGACTTTTGTACTGATATAGGTACGACTTCTTTTTATTATTATTATTTATTTTAATATTTAAAATAAGCTAAATAAATTTAATTTATTTTTGAAAAAATTCTAAAATATTAAGTACATTCTTTTCAACTTTTGAATGTTAAAAGAATTTGAAGAAAAAAACAAATTTTATCATTTATCTACAGAAAAATGTGGATGAATAATACAAGGTTAAAATGCTGATTTATAAAATGCAGTAAAATAACCTTTACTGCATTTTCTGCAATAAAGATGTTAAATTTATCATTGATTAATTTTTGTATAGATATAAATTAAATGATATCCTTTCAATACTCAACTTTTATTTCCTTCTTAAAAGTTAATATACTGTGGTTGAGGAAACTGTCACTTTTGTGGAAGAAAATTATGAAAGATTTTAGTGTTATGCTTAAAGACCTTTAATATAATCAGTTTAATGTGTTCATAATTATTCAGAAATCATTAGTATACAGTCAAACCTCGGTTTACGAATGACTCACTTTTTGAACAGATTGGTTTGTGAATGCAATTTCAAACTTTTATTTGCCTCAGTTGTCATATTTGGTTGCCAAACAAGCTACTCAGCAAAAGCAACCACAGATTAGAGCAGGGGTGGCCAACAGTTTTTGCCCCCGGGCCGAATTGGAAAGAGAACTTTTTCCACGGGCCGAACCAGAGGCTGCCCTAGGAATATTTTGAGGTGGTGCAAGATCTCATTGTCGTGTCACCCTGTAGAGACTAAATTGTAGATAGAGATTACAGATACATTTTTCACATTATCATGCTTTATCAACATTCTACATTGTACTTACGAGATTTGTGATGGAGGTTTAACTCTAAACATGTGGTGAGTTGTTAAATTTTTTTTTAGGCATCAGAATTTTTCATCGAGCTATTTGGAGTTGAGTAGCTAATATTGAAAGATTGATCGCGGGCCACATAAATTCACTAGATGAGCCGTATGTTGGCCATGCCTGGATTAGAGAGACAGACATGTAAGGTCAACTCCCTATATATCCTATGATAAAGAAACTTGATGGCCCAATCAATCAGCGAAGGGACTGCTGATTTGGAAGTTAATGGTGTTGAGATCACCTGCGTCGTTAGATGTCACAACATGAATTGTCAACAACATTGCTAACTAAATTAGATATCAATACGTATGTGGGAAAGATACTATTTTTGTTTCTTGTTATGTGCCACAGTTAAATTTAAATCAAATTAATTAATAAAAACTACATTAATTGGCATTTACATAATATAAATGCATACAAGAATTTTTCTTTAAAAGTGCTTAAGTTAAATAACAAAAATGTGTTATATATAATATTACATTGCATTCTTGGTATTTTTAGCATAAAATACAGCTAAAAGGATTTTTTTTTAAATGGGCTTTATTTTGGTGTTCAGGAATGGTTTAATTCATTTTACATTGTTTATTATGGGAAAATTTGTTTTGTTTTAGAAAAACTTTTAGGAACAAATTATGATCAAAAACTGAGGTTTGACTGTACAGTGATACATCTGCTTTAGAATACATCAAATTCGGAATACGTCCTGTTTGGACGAAACAAATTTTGCTCGGTATACGACTAATTTCAATTATACGTGACATCTATGAACAAGTAGCACTATCGGTGTACTAGACCAGGCTAGACATTCGCGGTGCCACAGTTTATAACTTTGTTAAATTTTTTCTGATTTTAATTTGTAAGTAAAATTTTGTTATTTTTATTAATCATGAATTGCAAAAAGACAAATGAAAAGCAACAGAAAACTAAAAAAATGGCTAGAATCACAATGGAACTGAAAAAAGAGATTGTTGAGAAATATGAAGGTGGCATGCGTGTTTGAGATTTAACTGTTGCACACCGTATTCCGAGAACAACGATATTGACAATCTTGAAAAATAAAGACATTATTAAATCTGCTAACGTTGCGAAAAGGGTTAAATCAATTTCTAAACAGAGAACGAAGACATTAGATCATGTTGAGAAATTGCTTTTGTTTTGGATAACTGAAAAATAGTGTGCTAGAGACAGCATATCAGAAGCAATTATTTATGAGAAAGCTAAAAAGATACATGCTGATCTCATGAAAAATCAAGCAGGAACTAGCTAGGAAAGCGAGGTGTTTAAAGCCAGCCATTTTTTACATGAGAACGGATTAATCATTTTTACATTACTTCTCATGGGAAAGGTTGGTTTGGTATACATCCTATTTGGTATAAGTCCAAACACCTGGAACGGATTAAGGTCGTATACCGAGGTTCCACTGTATTATCAAAAAAAAAAATTATTTTTACTCCATTGATTTTTGAATAATCATCCCACATTTGTCTGACATTATATTATTCTATCTTTCAATGTACTGATGTAAAAGTTTTATATAGTTATAATTAAAGCAGATTTTTTTTCTTAATTAGAAAAAGCTTTAAAAGCAGAAGCCTCTAAAGTTACCAAAGAGAAAGATTATGAAAAAATACCAAAGCCAGTTAACAATCTAAGACAAAACATTAGCAAAAGAGCAGAAATTCTCCAACAGACGACACCCTCTTGTGAAAGTGAAAGCGAAACTTCTGCCAGTAAATTTGATTTACATTGTAATTCTTTTCTGTTTACAATTGGTATAAATGCAGTGATGCTATTTCTTTCTTCGTAGATATTCCTAGAACTTTGATTGCTGGCAATGACGAAGTAAAATTTTTAAATTTTTCCACGGAATTTATCATTAAGGCAATTTTAACAATGTAAGTAGAGCAATTGGAATCTGATAAATGGTATTTTATCATAAAAATAAAATAAAAATGGCTGGATAGAACTGTATTTAAAAAATAAGAAACTTATTCTATATATCCTTAACATTTACTAATTGCATTTTTAAAAACATAAAATATTTTTTTTAGATTGGCCGTATTATTATTGTTGAATATGGTTTTGATATTAAAATTAGGATCGCTGGAGGACTTGAGCATCAAATTGAATTCCTTTCCCGATGACCTAGTCGAATCTCCAGTAGAAAGGTAATTTAATCATACTGTTATGGAAGTTAAATATTTAGTACATTGTAAATAGGGAATTTCTGTAATATTGTAAGTTTAAATATTACCAATATCGTGGAATCGTATTGATTTGGAAAGTATTACGTTAACTTGCCATACTTTTGGATTGGGGTTTTTTTGTAACAATTTGGATAGTACGTATTCATTTGAACTTAAAATGTGAATCTGCAAAGTCTCTGTTACACTATCCTGTAAGACAGGTTGATTCTGATAGTTTAAGTGTGTTTTGAATCCATTTATCCTTAGTAAATGGAATACTTGTTATTGCTCCTGGAGAGTGAAAGTGGATCAGAGTACAATGTACTAGCTACATTCTCTCTTTTTATCCAGATGAATTAGAATGATGAATTTATCCACTGTGCAGATACAAATATATTTATATTTACTGATTGTATCTATTATTTAATTAGTGTTTGATGCTTTTACATTGTTTTGTAAGCATTAAGAATGTTATTTTTTAACAGTTAGCATAAAATGAATAGCTTTTATTTTTATTTCATTTTTGTCTTAATTATTGATAAAATTACCTCAATATGATAACTGACAATGTTTTGCAGAGAATTTATGATATATTATCTATAAATAAATATTTACATAGCATAGAATTCTATGCAATGTAATTTGCTTTGACAGTGTATGCTTGTTGCAAACACATTTTTAATGTTCATTTACATAATATTGTATTTTGTACTATCTTCTAACTACATTTAAATAGTTCAAATCTGAAAATTTTATCAATTTAATATAATAAATAGTAATGTCATTTCTGTTAATCGAAACAATTTTTCTGACAGGATACCAAATCTGTCTAGAGGAGAATTTATGAGAATTTTACGCAAGCAGGAAGTTCTTCATAGGACAGAAGTGTTAAAATGGCAAGATGCACTCAATGACGTGTTAAAGTTATTCCATATGGTAAGGAGACGATTTTGATTATTTTTTAATTAACACTTTGCATTCAAACATCTTGAAGACAGTAGACGACAAAAAGTATCATAAACAAAAATCATGACTCTACACTAGACAAGGCAGTTTGTCTGCAGTTTGCAAAGTCTAAGTCACTAGTCATTGTGCAACACAAGTAATCTGCAGGAGCTGAAGAATTGTGGCTGCCATGGGAGATGTGGCAATAGTGAGCGCAGGAAGAATTTGAATATTGGTTGAACATGCTTTGCAACACGAGATGTATGCATTGATAAATTGTTTGAGTGTCCAATTGAATATTCAAAAACTGTTCAATGTTTATCTGTTACAATTTAATGGGTATACATTGGATAGTTTTTGAATATTTAATGTACTGTACATTACAATATTCTCAGATAATAATTAATGTAATTACAATAATTTAAAATTGTAGCATTTTTTTGGAAGACTCTATACTTAATTTAGTTTATATTTAAAAAAGAATATTAATTTTGAATCATATCAAAATGTAAAATATTTTCTTCTCTTTTAGATGGAAGGTTCGTTATTAAATTTGAAGACCACAATAGAATCATACAGTAATTCTGAAGCCATCAAGACCATGGTCGACGAAAAGTAATCTTCCAAGTTTAACGTTTTGTTTTTTTTTTAAGCCTCTCAATAGATAGCCATTAAATTTATTAGGAGGCATCTCGTCTTTTTTAATTGCATTATTGAACAAATATAATGATTTATATCAAACATTGTTCCTGTCAATATTTTATTATATTTAAATAAATTCATTAGAATGATGACTATTTATTTATATATATCATATGTTCCTCCTAAATGTTTGATATAAAATTTTGTTTATCTTTATACTGTATATGAAAATTGTTAGAAGTCACAATGCCAAAAGCAAGCCGTACGTACTTTTGTTTAATTAAAGAAGTATTTTTGTAATTTTATAATCTTGGTAAAATAAAATGAAAAAAAGCCTTATTAAAAAAATGCTTGTTCTAGCATAAAACTGTATTATTTTATGAAGCAGTGAGAAGCTAGATTATATCTAAAACAGAAAATTGGTTAAATATTATGATTAAATAAAGTGAAATATTGATAAAAGCTGTTATTTTTGACATAAATTAAGAAACAATATCAGAGAAATTAATATGATTACTTACATTAAGAATTTACAACATTAATTAATGTTGCAAGTCACTTTTAATTTCAGGTAAAGGATCTTCATTTTGCTATATGGTGATACTGCAACAAATATGAAATTTTTACATTTATTCATATCAAGAAAGACAAAAATTTACTAGATATGGATTTTCTTCATGTGTTCAAACACACTAAATGTGGACTGATGCTGTCTTGGAAAAAACAGATGGCCATTCCAGATGAAAAATTAAGAATATAAAAGATTTATATATCAAGTCTTTTTTTTTATATCGTAGTGAATTTAATTATATGTAAGAACAACCTTTTTACATCATTTATCATACATCTAATATACATAAAATGGTTTTAAGAATAAAAATGTGTGTTGTAATTATTGTTTTAAAACGAATGAATTTGTCTGGTGTGGAACAGAAAACAAAGTATTTTGTAATACATGTTTTCATTCTAAACTTTCTCTTATGTATTACGGTATAAGAAAAGTACTGTATTTGCCTCGGATAATGAGAAACCTCGGTGATTGTTCGGTACATAACAGCCAAGAATACTTTCCTTATGAAGACTTACATCATTCTCAAACATGTGATAGTTAGACTAGTTATAGCACATTTCTCAGAAATTGTTCATTGTATGAGTGATATCGAAGCTTATACATTTTCAAACAGGATATCAAAGATTGTGTTATACTTACTCTTAAAAAATGCAACCACATATGTTTAATGCAACTTAAAAATAGAAGAAAATTGTTAGGAAATTTTTAAAAATTGGATATCATATTGCAAAGTTTCAAATATTTTTCTTGAAAGTATTAATTATTTACTTTAAAATATTAAAGATGTGAAAAGAGTTAAACCTTTCAACAAATATTATCTTACAGATAATTTAGTTTAAATTTCTAATTAAACATATTCCTTTTGAAGTATGTAGTAAAGAAGCAATTTGGCAATGACAATCTTCAAAAGAGAGATCTTAATAATTGGGCTGCAATTTGGAAAAAATTATAGACCTATAAATTCCCACTGTCTGATCTTCCTCAATCTTAAGAATGATGTTAGATCTGGTTCTCAACCTGTGGGTCGCGACCCCTTTGGGGTCGAACGACATTTTCACAGGGGTTGCCTAAGAACATCCGAAAACACACATTTCTGATGGTCTTAGGAACCGAGACATCGCTCCTTGGATTTCAACGTTTGGTATTAAATGAGTCACCAAAAGTCATTGGAACTCACTGTGTGATTCATCCGCAAATATTAGCGACGAGACGCTGCCACAAGACTTACAAGAAGTAATGAAAAGTGTCATAAGTTCTGTCAATTTTGTAAAGGCGAGCACTTTAAACAGTCAACTGTTTTCGCAATTGTGTAACGAGTTGGATGCGCCGAACAATGCTCTGCTATTTCACACTGAAGTCAGATGGTTGTCGCGAGGAAAAGTTTTAAAGCGTGTTTTTGAGCTTCGTGATTAACTCAAAACGGTTTTTAATCAAAAAGCAAGATCGCAGTTCGAAGCACTTTTCAGCGATAAAAGTGAACTGCAGAAAATAGCTTACTTGGTTGACATCTTTGTCATCTTGAACGAGTTAAATTTATCACTACAAGGACCAAATGCAATATGTCTCGATCTGTCTGATAATATCCGATCATTCCAAATGAAACTTCAGCCTTGGCAAAAAAAAAAATTGGATGAAAATAAAATTTACATGTTACCTACCTTATCTGCTTTCTTTGAGGAACGTGACATTGAATCAGACAAGGATTATGATGATAATTTGTAACAATGAAAATACATCCTAGATATCAGATATTTACATTACGATTCATAACAGTAGCAAAATTACAGTTATGAAGTAGCAACGAAAATAATTTTATCATTGAGGATCATCACAACACAAGGAACTGTATTAAAGGGTCGTGGCATTAACAAGGTTGAAAACCACTGTGTTAGGTAGATGAAAGTCGAGACGAGATATATAAAGATTAGAAGTAGTGATTCCGATTTACTGTTCCGTGCTGGGCTGGAAGTCACCTAATTTCAATGCAAAAATTTTCTTTAATATGAAGTTGGGTCTGACACTACCTGTGACTTTTGGCTCACGGGAACCTTCAAACCGCATGAACGGCCGCGTATGTAGGATTTTTAAGGAGTAAGGGATAAAGGAGACCCAGAAGTAAGACACTCAACTACTGAATTGATAATGTCCATCAGATACGGCCGGATGGCCTAGCGGTTAAGGTGGCAGCCTATCGTTCTGAGGGTCCCGGGATTGAATCCAAACGGGTCAAATAATCCCCAGGAATTTTTTGGGGGTGGTCCATTCGGATATGTCGGGTTCCGTCCCTCACCACCTGGCCACCCCATAATGGGCTTGCAAAAAACAGGTCCAAGTGTTGCGTTGCCATAACTTAACAAACAAACAAACTTTCTTGATTAATCGAGTCATAGATAGGTTCTCTATTAGATTCTAAAGTTATTCCTTTTTTTTCTATTTTCATCTATTCTAATGACTTTGCGTGTAGTATCTTTATTGTCAGGTCCCGCAGAAATCTATCATGTTCCCATCTGGAAGGATCATTTGATTTCTTGCCAGATCTAGAATTAAGCCTTTTCTCTAATTAAATCTCTTCCTAACAACCTCTTGCGTGGGTAGGCAATTCCCAAGCTTACTATGCAGCAGGGGAATGAAAATTGTAAAGTTCCAATCCCAACTGTTTGTTCCTCTATGCCGTATGTTCGAATAGAACCTAATCTTAGTTCAAGTAGTGGGAGGAAGTTCCTTTAGTTGCTATGGTCTCTCTATCAGTTATTCATTATTTATCAGTCACCATTCTATTGCACCCTCTTATTACGTTATTGACGTTAAACATTTGTAATTTCTGATGTTTTCTGTTGTCCGAAAGATCGGATTATCGGGTCTAAATTCTTTCCTTTCCAACGTTATTCTTCCATTTAAAATGGTGAATATGGTTTGAAATCGACGTTCTGTAACGAACTTCATAAAATAAAATGCACTTTCTAATTTAAATCTTTAATACAAAATTTGGTTTTAATATTGCAAAAGTCTTTAAACCCTGGTGTATAATTACAAACCCAAGGGGTGTAAAATGACAATCAGATATCCCCAGACAGTCACACAATGTAATAAAATGAGCAACTCAAATATTATACGTTCAATCACACTACAGATAAAATCTGCATTGGATCAATATTTGGATGTTTGAGGCATGATGAATTTTGCTTTCATTTAGACGAGGAAGACCGTTTGCCTCTCGTTATTCTAGCCAAAATTGACAATCCTCGCCAACAGTAACTAACTCCAGTAGCAGGAAATTAATTCATTGAATGGTTTTATTTTGCAATTGTTCACGTGCTTTCGCGTTAAATATAAACAGACTGATGAAGTTCACTGTGAATTTTAGGAGCACGAGTCTAAGAAGCATAACCTGCTATGGCCATTCTCCCAGCCAAGACAAGGCTCTATCTCCAAATAATTGAAAATTCAGCTGGGCCCTCGGTATGACAGTTTATTTCACTGTATGTATTGTTGCGGCCTCTATCTATTTCAGCATGTAAATCGTCATGTAATTAGTGTACTTATTGATTAAGTGTAGCAGCATCTACGCTTTCTGTATTTTTTTTTTTTTTGTAATTATTTGTTTATTATTTAATGAATACCTCGATACAGGGCGCTTCAGGGTCTCCCAACTTCACCATCTTTCCTTTCCTCCTTTAATTTTCCCCTTCACCTTCCCTAGTGCTTTCTCCTTCCACTTCTCATCCAGGTAATACCTTTGAGTAAGCCTGGATTTTCATCCCCTTTATGCTAAGTATAAGGTATGACAGTTTACATCGATAGAAGATTGTAATTAGCATATTCTAACGATTTTCCCAATATAGAGCGGAAAAAGTGCTCTGTAATAATTACACAGAAGTTTTGTTGATCGCAAAATATTCTTGAATGTGCAAATCAACGTAAATATTTGCATACTCTAACACACCGATATTCACGCATTCGCATAACATCGTTTCATCTTCTGCAAGTTTTTACTCCAGTGTAAACGACGAATGCTGATTGTAGGCTAGGGATGGGTTTTATAAAAAGTTGTAATGACGATTTTACTCGTTATTAGCATTTAAGTGTGACCTTCAGAGCCGGCCCTACTGTGAGGACCCGAACAGGGGTCGACTGAGAGGTCCGAATTATGGGTTCGATCGAAAATAAAGAGCTCCTTTTCAGACGATAAGGAAACGGATTAGGTGTCTCGATTGAACAATGAAATTGGTTTTTTCGGAAAATTAGTTAAACAATGGAAACGGAGAAATTCGAGGAAAACGCGACGAGAGAGAGGATCATATTCAGTCGCTATGNATATTTAAAATTTTGTAGTATTATATTTTATTTTTTCTATATAATGCAATAAATTGTTAAATCTATAGAAAAACTATAATAATTTCACAAAAGTCACTTTCTTAGGTCAATCAGCTTATGCGGCCTCTCTTATTGCTGCCTAATTTAAATGTGGCCTCTAATGGTAAAAAGGTTCCCCACCTCTGCTAT